CCCACAGCGTCCTTTTCTGTACTAGTACTGCTAGTACTAGTACTAGTACTAGTACTAGTACTAGTACTAGTACTAGTACTAGTACTAGTACTAGTACTACCCGCGCAGTGTGTAATTGATGACTCGTTGTTGTCAGCGCATCTATGATCATCCATGGGGCAGAAGTAGGAACAGCCTGCACAACGCATGATTTCGGACGGGGTTGTTTGGTGGAGGTCGTAGAATTCGCCCTAGAGGAATATCGGAGTTTTTGCGCACCGTATGTAGCACGCACGGAGCATGCAAAAAGACAAGCTCCCATCCCCAAAGGACAGACAAATGTCTTGCAGCATCATGGGTGCATGTTCTGAACATCAATGCTCCGACATTCCCAGCTTTGCAAACACTGGTTTTAAAGTGCAGGTTTGTTCACTTTCTGGGCTACCGGCATAGGTACATCCTGCTCAGGGAATCCATTTTTGGAATGTATTTTGGTGATGCACCGTAGAGATACTGAAACACATAAGCATCATTCAATTGCCCCATTGGGGGGGTTGCAGTATTAAAGCTGGCCTGTTCAAGTGGCATTGCAGATCAACTCAAGAATGAAAGCCCACAAGGTCCGAAGATGGAAGCGCCAAAGAACACATCATTGGTGGTTTCAGCATTTTTTGCGTACGCGCCTAGATCAGAGTGAACTGCCGGGCTGAGGATGGATGCCAACGCAGGTTCCAAGGAGCCTGCTGTTTTGTTTGAGCTGGTGGTTCCCGACTTCGCATCAATAATCACCGCTTGAAATGTGATTGCGCATCTACTGGGGTTGATTGCAGAGCTCGCAAAAGGACCGTGACACACTAGTCCAGTTGTCAACAAGGGATCATGTTTTAAGATAGTGTTGCCGCAAGGCAAAACACGCATGACATAGCGTGGGTCTACGGTCCAAATTTCCTACCACCTTGCGCAAATCTGAAATCGCAGTAGACTTTGACTAGAAATGCGGATCGGAAAGGAAGAGGATTTCGCTTTCCTGAAGACAGCATACCGGATCAGAAGGAGCATGGTGCAACTTTTTTGATGGAGCGTTTGTAACATCAGCTCTTCCCACCATGTACTTTCGGAAGTCAAAAGAGAGAGAAAGAGAGAGCGAGAGAGGGAGAGAGTGTGAGAGAGAGAAAGAGGCGGGAAAGTGTGAGACAGAGGGAGATAAACACCCGCGCACACAAACACTCACATAATTGACGGTTGTACCACTCGATCCAGGGTCCGCCACATCACTTCATGGCAAATTCAGCATCATCCATTCAAAGCCCGACACTTCATGTGAAAGCCATGCAGGATGCTGCACCTGAAGTTATGCGCAGGAGCGGCCTGAGCGAGACAGCGAGCTTTCTGTGGAGAGCAGGCCGCGAACGACTGTTAGTCGCTCGTGGACACTAAAGTAGCTTCCATTTTCTTTCCCATTATCCCCTATATAACCCCAATATAATACCCTAATATCATATAGTAGCTTCCATGAGGTAAGGTTTGAATGTGGCTTTTCGGGGCAGGTGATGAACTAGGGCCGAGGTTCGCGCAGCATTCGTGGCTTACCAATGAGTGGTTGCAAGGCCTTGGGTTTGGCACCATGGCATGGTGGGTTTGGGTCTGGGTTCAGGACCTTCCCTTTGGACCCTTTATTCAAGAGACATAATCATTCACAAACCAATCATATATGCCAAAGCTTGGGAAAAGCATGCGCTTTCGCGCACAACACATTGCTGGATTTTGTAAAAACCGCCTTTCAACAACCCTAAACCCTAAACCACGTGGCCCAATCTAATCTTACTGGTGCATCTGCCAGCTTCAAGACGTAGCTTGGCCTTGACCTCTGGCACATTGTGCAAAGATGCAGTTTAAATAGGATAATATAGTAAGGATTATTTTAGGGTCCTTCTATATCTTCCTATTCTACCACTATTACAGGGTGGGGGGGTCCCTCTAAGATATTGGTGACGATATCTTCCCGAGCTGCGCACATGCCAACAACCTGGGTACATAGAGGCGAGTGGCAGGTCATCTCAAATGCCTAGCGGTCGCAAATTCCTCTGGAGCATGTTAGGGAGCTTGGCAGCCAGGTGCTACTTCTGAACATGGGTAGCTTCTGCCCCGACATTGTCAGCTCCATGCGCTTACAATGTTAACCAAGCGTCTCTAGGGTCCACTGCGATTGCCTCTGCCGTTCGCGCAGCATACTCCCCGTAATGCGGCATGAACAAGCCAATCCTCACCAAGCAACTTGTGCGCGAAAGATTTCAACAATCTGTTGGAGCACCTCATGTGCATGCCCTTACGTTCTGAGAACCTCTCCAGCACACATAGGGATGGAGAGTCTACGTCCAGCTCCTGAGTACTCTTCCCAAGAATTGTGTGTTGCTAGATGTGTTTCTATGCTTGATTTGTGCGTTTCTTGTGTGGTGCTATTGGCAGAGTGCCAATTTCAGGTAGAGGCCTCCAGCAATTCGTCAGCATGCGGAATTCCTCACACAATCCTTAAGAGAAGTGCCAAGCATTAAAGACTCGCTGGAATTTGGGAGATTAAGGAGCCTTGATTTTAGGGGTGCGTCTAATGAAGGTTCTACTATGTTGGAATTTTTCAGGGGTACCCTCCCCCATTTTGGAAATTCTCTGGCTAGGAATGCAAGCCAGAGCCTGACGAGCGGTTAAGCCCCACTCCACCGCATATTAAACCCCCCCATCATGGAGAATTAAACAAACAAGAACATGGAAAATCTATACAAAGCTGATATAAGAATAATCTCCCCCTAGTATAAAACCCCAGATATATTACATTATAGTATACCACGATTGGAATATTTGATATTGGGGGGGTGGGGTGTTCTGTTTACTTGCAAGCTCTTAGATCATGCGTGTTGCTCGAATCTATAGGCATCTAAAGTCATTGAGTACATAATACCCAACATTCAACGACAGCTCGAGATCACAGTGTCCATGGGAAAGGCTCTTTTTGAAGCATGTTCGACAGCAACGGAAGGCTGATGGGCTGAATTTGGGCTTCTTATCGGCGGTTTTCTAGGTTGTGCCGCATCAACAAGCTCCGCTAAAGACGACATTGGGGGTCCTCCTATGCCCGCGTAGCGCACTGACCTCGAGCGCTAAGCCGCTGTTTGCGAGAGGATGGATACAACTTCCACATCCACGGAAGCATCAGAGGAAGCTGGGGATCCGTTTCATTGACCGCCTTAGAACTGTTGCATCTTATTGGAACAGGATGCGGGGATTCTTTCTGAAAGCCTTCTTAAGCATTTGGGCTGAGTGGTCTAGGTTGCAAATTAGCAGCATGATGGTTCTGTGCCAAGGGGCTATTGAAGTTCGGGGGTTCAGGCTCATAACTGGCCATGTGGCAGGGCGGGTTCACAAGTATCAAGCCAGACTGGTTCGCAGACGAATCGCGGTATCCATAAATAGGGCGATCCCAATCCAGACACAAAATACAGTAGCCCTTCTAACAGGTCTAAACCTGGAAACGCTGAATACTGCGTAAGATCCATCTTGTAAGCGTTCGTTCCCTCTCCCCGCTACTTTGCCTTGAAAGGGGACACAGATAGGTGTATACCATTTCCATGGAATACCTCACGTTTGGATTCAGCATTTTATCCGTCCCTGGATGATGTACTTGTGTACTACATGGTTGAGCACATGCCTATTGGTGACTGTTGGCGCTGACCCCCAGCTACCCAGTAATCTGACCCCTTGCTCTTGGCGCGCTGCACGGTTGGCTAAACTCTTTCAGAATCCAATGACACGTTTCACTGCTGAGACCATTTCGACCCTGTACGCGAAAAACACCTACACCGATCCCGCAATGCTATAACCTTGTAGTTTCAATATCGTTTGTCCAAAAAGGCACAAAATTGTCGCCCCAGCAAAGAACCCAGAGCCATCCTCACACACGCACGACATGAAAGCTGGCGTTGAAGCTGAGACACATTTTTCACTTTTCCAAAGAACCTGCGTTCCAGAGCCCAAACTTGCAATCACATGCAGCAACCTCTACCAGAGCTAGTGCCAGTCTCCTCCAGCTGAGCGATTTCGAGAACGCAGTGTAAGGTTCAATCCGTTGCTATTGGTCTGCAGGCTACATTCAGCTTGAAATGCATTTTGCCAGAATGACGACTCATTTGCGGGGCTGCTGCGCTAGTTAATGCCTAGGCCGAACTGATGGTGATTGCAGGCCCGGAGCACCTTCCACCAAGGTAGAATCCTCCTGCTAGGACCTCACAGAATCCTGCATGCTAGAGGACATGCAAGACCCGGATGCCTGCTGTGCTCACAGCTGCCGATCAGTCAATGGCCAAGGCCTGCAAGGCTTCAAGTCAAGGTAACGACTTACTGGTTCAGTATTCAAGCCAAGCCTGACCGGAAAACATGATGAGTTCAAGAGAGTTTGGGAAGAGCTCCTAAACCCTAAACCCCTAAACACTAAACCCTAAACCCGACGAAGAGGTGGCCGGTTCTAGGGCTTCATCGTTGAGCGGGGGCTGGTTTTCTTACATTGTGGGCCAGGCTCACGGCGCGACTGCGTAGAGACTGCTAGTGGTGGGGTGTCTAAAGCAAAGCTTTAGTAAGGGATTGCAATAGTACCCCGCCAGGGTTTAAGGAGCTAATAAGGACTATATCGGGCTTAAGAAGGCCTAATTAATAGGGTTCTAAATCTGGGGGGGGTACCTTTGGGGGAGTACTATTGTAATTCCTTATTTAGGGTGTCGAGTTTTTTGGAAAGTCTGCTGAAGCCGCTGCGCTGGGTCTGAAGCCAATCAACCACTTGGAGATTGCCTAGGTAAGTAGAATTCATGATCCTAGAAAGATTCGCGATTCTAGCAGCCAGGGATCCGTTGCAAGCTGAGTTGAACACAATCCTTGAGTTTTCAAGACAGGGCGCCCCTATGAGAGCCCCGGGAATGTATGGGGGGAGTAGAAGGAGTATGTAGGGTTTAGGGTTTAAAGGTCCAAATTAGGGAGCACATGGGGACGAAATTGACAAGCTACCCTCCTGTAACCCAAAGAAACTGAAAGGCTATCAACCCTGAATGGAACGGTAGGTTCTGGCGTTTGTTCAGGGCATGTTGCTCAAAGGGGGCAGTTTTGTGAACTTGTTTGGGGGGATAAACCCTTAACCCTAAAGCCCCAAAAACTTAAACCCTAAACCTTAAGGGTTGACATCCAAACTTTCGTCTTCTGTGCACTCAGGGCCGTGCCCTACGTTGCGCAAGGCAGTGAGGTGATGGGCTCAGGGCCTGACTGATTCAGCTTTGGCTGCTTTGCAGTTAGGGTTAGGGTTAGAATTCTGTATATTGGGTTACGTTGGGGTTATATTGGGATAATGGAAAAAGCAAATGGAAACTACTATGTTATGGGTTAATGTTATTCTGAAGTCTTGAAATGATGGCAAACTACTACAGTATGCGTTGTTTGCATTTTCTTTTCCAGTATGAAGGGAAAAGAAAATTTTAAACTACCCTTAATGTAATAGGTTTTAAAATGAGGGGAATCCGGACCCTAAGCAATTGTATGTCTCTTGTTTCCTGAGGGTTTCGGTAGAGACGAGACTGTTGTGAGGTGGTGCTTTTCACATTTCATAACGTGTGTCGACAAAACTGAAACCACGTTTTGATAATATGAAGATAGTCAAATACATTTTTGCGTGTGCTGGGGAAGCGGATGAAGATGGTGCCGGTTTCTGAGCATAACGTACTTCAACGAACAGTGTTTTTTTCCAGACGGTCTCCGCTAATCAGAAATAGAGTTAGACCACAATATGCCCTCATCTCCTGTAGTTGCAAGAGAGATTCGGAACCACTACTCACAAAGTCTCCTCGCGTTACTCAGCTAGATCTTGCCCCCATCAGCAAAAATCATTCCGAACATTCAGCAAGAAGTCCGGAAGCGTAAAATCCAGGTAGACAGTTTGTTACAGGGAGCGACGTATGAAAAGAACGAGGAAACCACTCTAATAACGAAGTAAGGGCATGTGTTCCGATCTTAACGGTATGTTACATGGGCTCAAAAGGTACAGTATTGGGATCTTTTTGACTGATTTCCCAGACTTGCATCGTTTTTGTTTGATAGCTCTTGTGCCAACACATGTAGTCTCAACGAATCCGTTTTAAAGAAGGAAAAGAAAATCAAATCGGAATCAAACAAGTCATGTCTGAGTCCTGCGGCGTTTTTAAAAGGAACGTATAAGGACTTAACTCAAAGAAATATGGTTCGCTCATCTGTAAACTCATATTCTACGTACAAATAGTTTAGCAGTTTGCAAGTTCATTTCTTTGTGCATCAAAAAGAGCAGGGGCCGCTGCTTCACAATACAAAATGGAATTGATCCCTATCGAAATACGTCAACAAATCTATCACTTTGCGACAAACATGCCCAGGCCAGGCATATTTGTAGCGAATGAAAGCTGTTGTTGCAACAGTTCCCGAATCAGCTCCCGAAGCAAAATCAACAAGCATTATAGATAAGGAGCTTCTGCCTCAGTTTTTTACAAATAACAAGAAGTATACTCACCAAAGGTATCCAAAAGCAAACAACGAATCGTCAACTTGGGACTTAGGCCCTTTGTAGTAACAAACCTTGATTTTCATCTTAGAAAAGAGCATACAAAAGATGATGATTGGAATTTTCGCTTCTCTGCAATAAAGATACCAGAGGAAGCTGGCGGGCTTGAGAAGTGAAAGCTGCAGCTCCTTTCTGGTTCTTCTTATGCGGTTTTGCAAAATTAGGGGTCCTTTTTTTGGGGTAGTATTTTGGGATCTATGTCGGGGGCCGTGCCACCCTTGGAGCTCACAAGCCTTTGTGCGGCGAAGGCGTTCGAAGATATTGCTTTGACTTTGAACCAGGGGACTGTGCGGAACTCCTGAACCCCATAGGTGGCTGAAAAAACACTCATTTGTAGATATCGGTGTTGGAAAAGCAGTCGTGTTTCGAGAGACCACCCGCGTTTCCAGATTTTGAAGGACCCGGGGTGCGGGAGTGGGGACTCTTGCAACATACTCTCAACCTGGAAGTCTCCGCCCGCGTCCCCTCTCCCGTTTCCCCATCAGCAATCTTCACTGCATTCCTCACTCCCTTCCAAGCTCACTTCTTATACAGATACTGATCAAGTCCAACTTCCAATACTTCTCGTCCTTCTCCCTCATTCTTACATCATTCCATCAGTCTTCCTCTTAGCTAATGCAATGAGAAGTAATTCAACAATGCACTGAATGATTGAATGGACTGCTGTGCTGCCTGAAAAGTATGCCCGGGGCATCGGAATACGCTAAACATCTGCTAAAGCACCAGAAACTTTCAACTCACAACAGAAAAAATCCTTTCAATCAGGGTGTGGGTTTCATCTTATTGTGCCAGGAACAGCGGAGCATCCAAGCATTATGGGGTGGAGGATAGACAGATTGAAGGTCCATTTGGGGCTTGTAGCCTGAGATTGTCTTAAAGGAGGGCAATGCGCAGCGATACTCGTAGTCTTGGTGGTTGTTGTACTGAAGCATGGGCGTGCAGGGAGCCAGTAAAGCTTTGACATTGACTGGTGTGGACTCCACTGTCTATTCTAATCCCATGAAAGTCGCTGATTTGCAAGAGTTCTTGCTACCGCCTTGTCCTTTGCGGCAGGGATTCTGTGCGTGTTTGTGCCTGGGACTTGTGGGCCCATGAAACTGAGAGTGTTATGGTCAGAGGTTTGACGGAGTTAGTCTTATGTCATGTTGCCCTGCTCTTCACCTCTTGTTCCTCATCTAAGTCCTCTCCTCCTTTTCCTGCTTATTTGGAGCCATGATGATATTGGGTTAGTTTCTGCCACGGGCAATGTTTGTGTCGAGTCTGTAGGGACGACTACACAAATCAGAAGCTAGCTGCACGCAGGCAGTGTGTGGAGGTTTCCATAAACAAGGCCCATGCAATGAAGAAGCCTCACTGCCTTGGGGTAGTTTTTATAGAGGGTACCTCGAAACAAGCTCAAAGTGATATCGGAAAATGATTTGGCTTCTACATCAGATAAATTCTTTACGCAACCTCTGCATAGATTCTCCATTACCGGTATGAGGCCCGAAGATAACCCACAACCTAAACCGAACATAATGACCCTATAACAAAACCAAATGATTTGTCCCAAGAAACACACCCTATAGAGGTAGAAGGATATGATAGCTTCCTTAAATTGGGGAAGCCCAATATAGATTCCCAAATAGTATAATCTTTATTACAGGGACCCCAACACATGTACCTCTAATTTTGGCAGACCCAATCCCTCTAAACCCCATAAAGTCCCATGTTTCAGTTCATTTTCGATTTGCTTGTTCATTTGATGTTCGAATTGCTTTTCCGTTTGATGTTCCCCCTCAGCCCCTTTAATTTTGGGAAGCCGCATATGGGAGCCACTGACGAGCACTTTCTTTGGGTTGCCGAAACACCTATAAACCCTAAACCTCTAAACCCCAAACCCCTAAACCCTAAACCCTATTCTCTAAGCCCCTACACCCCTAATACCTACACCTTCGCTACTCTTTTTGGAACCTCACTGAAAGAAGGGAGGTGAAAATCAAGCTACCACATTGTTGGGGATTTCATTGGGATTGTTGCATCATTTAGTGAAAAATTGGGCGATTATGCAGGCCGATACATTATTGGAGATGATATGGGTAAAGATTCTGAATCGAAGCTCTTCAGCCTGCATCCTACACCGTTTGCCCCAAAATCAACACGAAGCGTCTCAACCTTTACACCCCAACCCGGCCCATGGCAAAAACAAATGGGTGGTTGTCAAAATTATGGTCCCCTTTTGGATCCCTATTATAATACGGCACCTAATATTTAGGGTACCCAAAAAGGACCTTAATTTTGGCATCCCCCCAAATATATATTCAGAGGCAGTTTGTTCTGCCGGTGCGCCTGGCTTTCGGGAACCGAAGGCTCCGGCGTCTTTGGCTCTGCCGGCCTGTGTATGAAACAGCAGCGGCTGCAGAGGTTGTACATTCATAGTGACATTAAAACAGAATAGTTGGCAGTGGTTGGAAGAAGGAGACCTAACAGCGAACGAAGTACATTTCAAGAGCTTGAGATTTCGGGTTGCTTTGGGTAGAGTATGTGAAAGTTCCAGGATGTTTTCAGTCTGCAAGCATGGCTTCCTGGAAGCTAGTGCTGCCTTCCATGCTTTGTTTGGGGCCCACAGGCTTTTCTGCTGAGACGTGTTTGTGTTATGGGAAACTGTCAACTCCCAAAATGCGTTCTGACATCCTCAGGAACACTGGCAAGTTTCTTGTTTCTTACCTAACCTACCAAACTTCAGCACCTCTTCTGATCATGATCATACACCCGCATGATGCAGCAAGATGTGATGATAGTCTGGTGCCTATTGTCTGAACGGGTTGGACATTCACGGGGCTTCAGAGCTTGAAGCAGACGCTACAAGCATCACCCCCGGCCCCAACACTTGCAAGACTGAGGAATGAGAAGAGCTTGCTTGAGGATACTGGATGATGAGAGAAAGCTTTGCTAACCCCAAAATTATTGTAGTTTCCATTCTATTTTCCACTACCCCGATATAAACCCCATATAACCCCAAGACTTCAAAGATGCATTGCAGTTGTGCACCCAACTTCATCATTAAGGTTCAGTACCGAAGCCCTCTCAGGGCAGCTTCAACCCGATTGCACGACAAGTCACAAGTCCACGAAGCCCGACAGACGGCCCACCACATTTCGTGCAAACGCCGCCCCAACAAACACAGCCACGTCTTAAGGTTCTTTTAATGCACGGGGGCTCCCGCTCAACATGAACCCCAAAATATCTTGATACTGATCAGACATACTCCACCGAGGGCCCCGCTTTTTTTGGAGACGCGCATAAGGTAAGATTTACAAACCGTGCTTTAGGGTTTAGGGGTTCCTCTTTCATTGTTTGTCCCTGTTGGAGGCCGTTCATGCAAGACGGTCGCAGAATTTGCATACCGCTCGATATCGCAATCTTCCACTGGGTACACATGCTTAATCTGCTTCCTGACGCTGGAACCAAAGCCTGACCGGTCCTCTGAAGCAATACTTCGCACGCGGTTCTCGCAGTCCGAGGCCACGAACCACATGGTTAGGACTTAAATCCGAGGTTCAGCTGCAAGTCTGTTTCAAGTAAAGCCCTCGTACATCTTATCGCCTAAGTATCCCAAAGGCCTCTTCAAATTGTTGAGGGCCTTTACATTCAGTTCACCAAGGGGCTCTCAGGAGGGGACCCATAAATGCATGGGCCTTATGTAGTCAGTCCTTATATGGTCGTTACTTATATGCCAAGATAATTCTCATATTGAACCCCATAACCTAAATCCCCCAAAATTAGGGGGAGCTCCCCAAAGTTAGGGTATCTTTTTGCGGTTCCCCACAATAGGGACTAGAGCATTTGGGGGTCTAGATTGGAATACCGTGATTTTGGGAAACTCCCAGAGTCCAGGGTGTCTTGCCAGGTTTGCGGCCTTCTTGCTGATGCACCTCGGCAGCTCCCTTGCGAGAGCAAACTCTGGGTGTCTTCGTTTCGGAAACTCAGAAAACTGGTTACATAGGGGTTATATTGGGATAATGGAAAATAAAATGGAAACTGCTATATTATAATCGGGTTCTAGGGGTTATATGGGGATAATGGAAAGGAAAATGGAGACTACTTTACTGTAATATGGGCTGAGGGTTGAGTATGACAAGAAACCTGAGACCTTGGAAACTCCTAACTTAAACCTCAAGATAATTCAGCCGGCTTCAAGGGTCCTCGCTTGGTCCAAAGCGGGGTCTCAGGTGATTTCCATTAAAGGTTTCAAAGACGTGTAGACATGACTGATAGCTATAAGGAAACAAGTTGGGCCCGGTGGTAGGGAATGGCCATGTCTTGTGGAATCATGAGGGCAGATCTAGACATGCGCATGCATACTAACACTGCAGTACTTGGGATTGTATCGACAGGTTTCCTTTGAGGATCCACCACGCAGCTTAACAAGTAAACAGACAAGGGACTGCTCACCATTGAGGCCTGTGGTGGAACCCATAGGCCTTTATGGTGGAGGGGGGCTTAAGAGTTTGCAGGAGCATGGTCACTCTAAGGTTGTAGGGTACGGAAAGCAGAGTCCTTGAAACAGCCAGGACTGTGGAGGAATATAGATAAGCGGTAGACTGGCTGTGATGCGGAATTCTCTTTATCGGTAGAAATATGAAAGTCATTCGAACTTTGCGTCCTAGGCTGTTGGCATGCCACGCCTGCCTTCATCCTGCCGAGTCAAGAACATTGCATTTACTTGCGGTCTAGGGTTTGGGGTTTGGGCAAGCTGTCACTTTGTAGATGTTTTACCGCTCTTTCATCTTTCCTCAACAGGACCCCTCTAAACCTGGAGCGCCCAAGAAAAACTAGCATGACTTGCTTTGCCCCTCACAGGACCTTATCATCACTGGTTGAATATCCAACATTAAGAATTTTCCGTGGTAAGGAGATCAAGATGTGCAAAAAGCATCGCATTGGCCCTTCTAGGTTGGACACTGCCGCCCACTCAGTAGCAGTTGGAGAAGATTATTGATATGGATACAAACAGCCTTGAATATAAGCCTTATTGTAGGCTATTACTGGGTAGGGGCAGTACCTAACTTCTAGGTTCGCTGGCCAGCTGGTCATGGACATCGGAGGGCACTTCCGGCCTGGACTTGGCAAAGGTTTGGCAGTCGATGAATTCGGCAGTCGATGATTTCGGGCTTGCGGTTTAGCATGCTGACGCAAGCCTTATCCCTAAACCCAACTGAAAAGCTTTCTCGGGTCAAGGGGTGTCTCTTCCTGCCTCCCTGTCAAAGCGAAGAATCGTGGCTAGCGCATCTATGATCTTCCACATCTTCGTCCAGTAGGGCTTAGGGTTTCACGCATGGGCAAACTGCGCGTCCACACAGCATGCTGACTGCCAATTTATAACCCCATCCTTGTGGGGGCCTTAGTGTTAGGATCCCGGTTCTAGTGCGTATTACGGGGAGGGGGTTTTACCAATCAGGGGTCTACAGCACCCTAGATGTAGATCTGTAGGTACAAGAGGTCGAACGATGAGGCTCCGCCATGTGGCAGTATTGCAACGAAGTTGGGCAGGAAACGGCGGGTCTGTAGGCTTTATTGAGGACCGCTTTTTAGAACATGAGCACACGGTCTACAGGCTTGAGCAGGTTTGCGGATCACACCGCTGGTGCTCCTTCCAGCTGCGAGAAATCGATTCAGACTCCCAAGGTGACAATCATGAGTCCTTCGTCTGCGCTGGATGCTACAGGGTGTCTGCCATGATCCAAGGTCTGGGCTTGCTTGTGGAGTCGTGGGACTACGAAGTGGGCAAAACGTTGGTATATATTCCATAAAAAGCGAGCCTCGAATATAGACCGCGACGCATGGATATGGGCGTATTATGATTCAACTAAGAAACGCTGCTCAGTTCGAGATGGTCTCTCCGTGAGCATGCTCCTGGCTTTCTCTTTGCTTCGGTCAGAACTACACAAGTTTCAGCCCATATCACTCAGGATCACACGGCATCTATGCCGCAGCGTGTTGATTCACCGATTCCATTCCCAGATGAAGCAGGTGTCCTTGCCAACAATCTCACCCCGCTAACCCTGCGTAGGCCATCTGCTGGCAATAGAATACTGTATGCCCTTCAAGTTAAACATCAAAACCATACAGCCCACTTGACGCTGCAAGCTACTCCACACATATTTCCTGCAGTCATCTAGCCGATCAGACCAATCGCCCCAGTCCTAGGCGATTGACCACGCCCTCCAGCCCTGCTTCCTCACTAGGAGCTATTTGCGATTTAGGGTTCGGGGAACCGGAAAATAACTGAGGACCCTACGTCGTTCGTTGCAAAGTTTCGCAACTGGAACGTTGGGGGGTAACGCGTTTCATGTTTTCCCCGGGTCCGCGTACCCTATAACGAGGGTTTTAGGTACCAACAACCATTCCAAGGATGGTAGTGGGAGCCTAAAGCCCCAAACTTTTGGCATTTGAACCTTGATTGCCCAGCCCATACCATGCATGGCTACACATAACTCCTCGACCTCATGCGGTAGATTGTTCTGAATTATGCAGGGCTCAAGGGTTAGGGCCTTTTTGGGGTCCTGTCTTAGTATGCTCCTTATTGCACAAGGCACCCAAAGAAAGCCCATGATTTTGAACGACCCCGTTTGTATTCCTGAATTTGCGATGGCTAGCGGTAAAACATCAGCTTTTCAGTTGGAATTTGATGGGTTGTTGAGTGAATTACCTTTTAGAGCCACATGTCCATTGAAATTCTGGCAGGCACAAAAAGTCAAAGAAACATCAACCATTTCCAATGCACTCTTCGTCAGTGACGCTAAGCCCGAGAAAACAAAAATCCCTAAACCCCCAAGCCCCGAAACCCCTAGACAAGCTTGGAAGATCGAAGCCCTAAAACCCTCGAACCCTAAATCCTAAAAAGCATTAGAACCTCTAACCCCTGAAAAACCTCCTTTAAACACTAAATCCTTAAACACTAAAACCCCTAACCCCCTAAACCCCTCAGCCAGGCAGTTCTTCAATCAGTCCATGGGCCTGATTCCCTACGGCACACGGCAAGAGATCATAACGGTGCCCGGGTGGGTTATTTAGGGCCTAGGGTTTCCGAGGGCCTAGGGGTTTGGGGTTCAAAGGGGTTAAAGGGTCAAGGGTTTAGAGGGTGTAGGGTTAAGAGGGTTTAGGGCTTAGAAGGTTTAGAGGGTTTGAAGGGTTTAGGGTTAGAGGGCAGCACACCGTCACCAGTGGGGATGCGGAAGGACTCGGTTTTGCTTTAAAGTCTAAAGGATCCTGGCATTGTTGGCGCACGGTTATGTTTTAAGGCTTTGTGTGCGATTTTAGCTGCTGAGGATTGACGTTCGCACTTGAAGTCTTCGGTGGTATTATAGGGGCATAAGTAATTCCAATGGTACTAATCCAAGTACAACTGTGGAAGAAAGTACGTCCAAAAGACCGCAATATCATTGAGGCCTTCTTGTTTGATGGTCCCCTCGGGTGCGAATTCCGAGTTCGAATCCAAGGATTGTTTTTTCGGACATTGGAGAATGTTTCGAACGCTCGATCGGCCTAACCCCAGATGAGTCATCCTCCTGCGGAAGGTATTTATTTAACTACGCGTTTCAGAATTAGTGTGTCCCAGGCCTACAAGATGGGCACATAAGGAGCCCCAACAACAGTCAAGGTTTCCAAGCAGAACGACTTGTCAAATCCGTTGTGTTTCCTGAACCTTTACGCGTAAGCCAGAGAAGCGGAGGCTCGCACTCCATTGCCAACTTCTTGTGAGTTTAGCTTTGGAACATGGAGGCTGTAGACCCCGACCCCGCCTTGAACCTTCGGAAGCCACCTTTAGCTCCATTTAGGGTACATGTTCAGGCTAGTCATTGATGGATTTGCAATACCTTCGATTTTTTGTACCAGCGCTGCACTATGAAACTGCCCCGAGTTGAACAGTCGTTTACAGGAACATCAGCTTGTCAAAAGCTAAACGGTATGAAAAAGATGGTGACGGCTTCTACATTGCCCGACAAGTCTTACTACGCCCAGGGCCTTTCAAGTATAATGTGAAGCAGCTTGTTGAGAAGAGACACTTGCAATTCGACCCGCTCGGTGGTTGTGGGCAGGTGGCCGTGCTGACCATGATCCCAGGCCAGCTGATCTGGCTAGGAGGTTCAGGATTCATGCGCACAGTGTGCTAATTTAGGCTGCGCGTTCAGCAAGCATAGCCGTGCTGCGTTGGGCGGCAGGTGTTGAGGGTTGCTCCTACAGCAAGCGTCCTGACAATTGCAGACCTGCTGCAGAATTTTGGAGAACCAAACTCATGATCCTCGCAGCTACTGGCACTTTTGCGTGGCTCTTCAAGAACCCAACAGATATCATTACCTATTCGTTGAAATTGAGGAAAGTAGAGGCACATCTGCCGCCCGCCCCAAGCCCAAGCGCGGATCCCAAACAGCCTTTATTCGGAGCCGTCACCAAATACGGCCGTCGCACTTGCATCGGAGGTCCATCAACCGACACTTATAAACAGCCATTCAACTATTCTGGTTCTCAGAAGAACTGATAGACACGCACCATTCCGAGCAGCATCAGCCCGACATTACCAACAAGAACTCCGAGAGCACTCCAGGACTAAGTCAAAGAGCTTTTCAAGAGCGCTTGAGAGCAATTTATCCGCATTCCAGGACCACTCCAAGACCGTTTCAGGCCTAAAAAGACTTCCAAGAGCACTCGGTAGTTGTGGTGTCATATCGCAACCAATATTCACAGCGAACCTTGCCTTTAAGTCTTGCCACATGGTTCCGGTAACCGAGTAGCAGATTCTAGGTTCCTGGGGGGTGCATAGTCTCCTCTACCCTCTGGAATCAAGGAGGAGTGGCAACCAAAGTTCTTCTGGAGCTTTAGGGCCACCTACGTTTAAGTTGGGGTGGCGCGAAAGCTGTTGCGGGAAGGTCTTGGGTGTAGCAGCGCAGGGAAGTTGAAGGTTGCATTCTCGGGATGCAACTGCACCTCCTTGACCTGCCTCCCATATTCTGTATTGGTGGCACGATGACTGCTTGAAACCATCAGCAGTAAGACAAACAACCCGTGTATTCTGAGCCCTGAAACTCAAAATTCTACAGGCCAGCTTCTAGCCATTCCGGGAAACCTGGTGACCGGCTACCTCTCAAAGAGCGGCATCCTCAGAGATCGGTTCCTTTTGGGGGTTTAAGCAAGAGGGCCTGTTAGGCGTCGAATAGCCCTGAAACCATGTAAACTGCAAACTGTGCTGTCCTTAGGAATTCTTTTTAATTCCTATTATAGTATAACCCTAAGGAAATATGTCTAAGGAAACTATAGTAAACGCGAAGGCAGAGCTGATTCGGAACCAGAGTTTGACGTTGAATACTGCCGCCGCTCATTAACAGAGATGACCCTCATCACACACTGTTAACGGGGCGGGACCCAAGCTTCAAGCATACTGGAAGGGCACGTTTCGTTCAGCGAAGTTGACACATCGCGGGCAGTACTATCAGGATAGGCCATGCCTTTTGTTCCTTGGCTTTGTGGCCCTTTGCAACGCAAAGTCTCCGAGCCCTGCAACTTGGTATTCAAGCGGCTGAAGTTGCATTGAGAATGGGTGAGGAACATAATTGTGGACTGAGCCAAGCAAAGCCAAAACAGGCGAGTGAGATAGAGTGCCAAAACGTGGTGTCTTGGCATTTTTGTTGGTGTTGTTGTTGTTGTTGTTGTTGTTGTTGTTGGTGGTGGTGGTGGTGGTGTTGGTGTTGGTGTTGGTGTTGGTGTTGGTGTTGGTGTTGTTGTTGTTGTTGTTGCTGCTGTTGCTGCTGTTGCTGTTGCTGTTGTTGTTGTTGTTGCTGTTGTTGTTGTTGTTAGAATAAGAGCATGCCATTACTTGCAAAACGCACCGTTGAGCTGTGATGCAAGACCAGGGTGCCATGCCATGAACGAGGCATCTCGAAAGGCAGATGGCACAACAGAGTTCCAAGAGGAGATAATGTCAGATAATAGAAAGCCAGGGAGTGCGAGGTCATAGTTACAGCCCTACGCCCCCAAGCTGGTCGGACTCAACTAAGCTGACCGAAGCCAAGCAGTAGGAGTAGATGCCAGATGCAGAAATAGAAATAGAGACAACACCAGTAGTAGATGTACTAGAAGACTATCTCCGTTACTGCCGATTCTATGTAGCGACATGGTCATCCTCGTGGTCATCCTGGTCGTCGTCGTCGTCGTCGTCCTCGTCGTCGTTCTCCTCGTGGCCGTCCTCCAGCTCGTCCTCGTCCTTCTTGTCTTCGTCGTCGTAGCAGCAGCAGCAGTAGTAGTAATAGTAGGAGGAGTACTTAGCTCTGCAGCAGCAGTAGCAGAACAAGAAGTGGAGGCAGTGGGAGTAATGCCAATCAGCAGCAAACGGGAGCGCTACTACTCGTAGTGATTTTTGGAGACCTTTCATTTGCAAAAGTGTTTTTGCCAATAGCCCTTCAGCAGATACTTAAAAATTCTAAAAGTGTCTGGGTCAAGGGGGCGGTCCGCTCTTCCTGCTTCGTCGAATGGTGCCCGGCAGCAGTGGATATGCAGATATATTCGTGTGTGTTTATAGCGCTGAGTACTGTAATTGCACAGAGTGCTATCTGCGGATGATTGTATTTGTGGATGCTGGAGCCTTCCCTGTCAGTGTTTGAGGGCTGAGGACTTAAGTTCAGAACTGTTCAAGGTTGCACGGCGCCTGAAACGAAAGAGCTTTGATTATCAATGAAAAGGACGGCTTTCTGTTTGCAGAAGCTACTCAGCAAAGAGACCACTGGGCATTCGAACCTTGATCCCTGCACTGTGTGTCATCTAGTCCCATCGGTTGGTGAACAAAATTATGAGCCCCTTAGCTTGTTGGGCTAGCGAGGAGCCCCTGAGACAAATAACTGTTCATGCAGAGCCGCAGAATCTATTTGTGCTACGGCCGACTTTGCACTCTGCCGTCGCACGACCAGTTCTACCAGGGGACTTCCGGCGGGCACGAACCCGAAGTTTATGAACTACTTGAGCCGATGGTTGCGCACCAACAGCCTTGGAGTTGTGAACCCAAATCTACCACCCTGCAAGTTCCTACCCGGAGTTTCCAAGCCAAGATTAAGCTCTTCTTTGCTGCCTCTCTTGGATGAAGCTCAGTCGTGAGCCCACAGACCCCAAGCCCTTGACTTCCCTGAGTTCTTGAAATTCCTCGTGCACCATCACACCCTTCCGCGGCCCCGGCAAACTTACGAGAACAAGGCGAATCTCCATCCCAGCCCCAGCAGGTTCCAATGACGTCCATCCTAGTGACCGTCGGTGCCTTCATGGCTGAGGTAGCAGAATTTGAAGTGGTCTTCAGGGTTGGAAGGGTTTGGGATTAGTGTTTAGGGGTTCCAGGTGGCAGTTTGCGATGCCGTAGGATTGCGTTAGGCAACATGTGTTATTGGGGCGGATGGGTTGTTACATGGCGGAGGTGGTGATTCAAAGGTCTTCGGGCGGCTTGTGGTTCACGGCCAGGGTATTGAAGAGATTTGGGTGCTTTTTTACACATGCACTGTGACTCACGTGACCTGAGTCCGAAAAAGTTGTTTGTCGTTCATGCCGTACTTCCTTCAAGTGGATTCCCAAGAGGCTCCCAAAAGCCGCACCCGCTAGACCCTGTAAGAAGCCCCTTGGTTCAATTACATGGTTTGGGGTTTGAGGATGTTCAGTTAGTGGCTGCATGGTCTCATTGTCAGGATTTCAGTTTCAGGGATGTTGTGGTTGGGTTTCTGGGCCTCCGCAGCTGTAGGGTTTTGGGGAGGTCGTTCAGGTTTCTCGGCTTTTAGGTTCAGACGATCCGCGAATTTCGGGCCGAGAGGGGCGTTTGTTGCTTGAGGGGTTTAGGGGCGTTCGTTGTCACGAAAGACTTTATCATTGTGAGGGTCCTGGGTTGGGAGCTCACATATGTTGGGGTTTCAGGGTTTGGTTCATGTGGCGCCGTGTTTCTTATGCTAGGTGTGTAGAATTTTCAGGCTTCAGGGATTGTGCACGTTTAGGGTTGTGGAAAAGTGTAGGCACCACGGGTTGAAATTTAGTGGCTTTGCGCTCGAGAGGTTCTTTTCTAAACCCTAAACCCTAAAATTTAAACCCTAAACCAGGTGTTCCCGGGGCTGCTTTTTGAGAGCTGGTTGCGGGGTTCAGGGATTTCAGGGACGTCAAGGCTTCGCAGGTTTAAACCGGGATTTTAGGATCCAGGGGTTTTGAAGCTACGGGGCTGCTGCCTCTTGGGGAAGTTAGGATTTGGGGGGGTTGTTGCCGTTTGCAGTGGTTCGTGGGTTCAGTTGATTCAGGGGTTCATGAAGGAATTCAGAGTTTGCGCGATCCTGGTGATAGGAGGTCTGGGTTAGGATGTTCAGAGGACGGTAGCTTAGGCTTTTGGACTTTCAGGCTTTAGGCTCCTGCGGGATGAACGGCGGCAAGACCTGCAGGGTTTGTAATGCTCAGGATTGCCGTATTGACCCTCCTTTGCTGACTTGGTCAAGCAGTGGCCAACACAGCCGATGCCGGCCACTCCATCAGCACAAAGGTCTCCTAGCCTAAACCGGAAACCTTAATAAACCGGAAACCTTAAACTCCATGTGCCCTGCACCAGTCTCCTGATTCATCATCGTTGTTGCAGCCGTCCGAGAAGCTTCGGTCCGAAGTTACCGCAGATTGAAGAGGTGTGGCTGAGGAAAATGTAGCGAAAGTCTTGGTATGGGGTTGGCCTCTTTTTTGTGCACCCGTGTTCTCTAGAAGCATTGTACCGCCAACCTCGGTCAGACTTCGTGAAGCCCAGCTTCTGGCAGGAGCTGGCACAGTGAGCAAACAACCTTGGGACTTTTGCTGCAGACGAAATTTGGCACCTTTCAGAAGATCTACTTCCTGAACAGTCGTTCAGCGCCCTTACCCCTAAACCCCTAAGCCCTTAAACCCTAAACTCTAGAGCCTACCCTATCTGCTAAAAAAGTGTGCGCCTGCAGGTTCGGCAGATGTGGTTTATAGCTGTGGTGGCCAGGTGCTCAGGTGTTGATTGTGAAGTCATTATACATGTCGCAACAACACTACAATCCCTTCCCCTAATAACAGGACCCCACCCTCGCTAGTAATAAACGTTCCCCAAAGTTGTATTACGGGGGAATGGGGGGGGGGGTGTATCACTAGGAAGTGGGGAGGCGGCTATCATTCCTTGAATCTCCCTGCTTTAGAGGGCTCAATTATGGAATGTCTGTTCCAACACAGACGCGTAAGGGGTTGAAGCTATTGCAGATGTTAGTAGACATTTCTTTTGCCGAGAACTCTTTGTGTCGTGTTTCAACGGAAGGCCAGAATTGGTAGGCGCCCCCCTAACATGATACAGATTCGGGCCTACGTAGTTTCTGCAAGCTGGCCCTGGACAGGAGCTCGCATGCTTAAAGCCCAATCCACCAAAAAAACACATGGGACGCAAGATGCTAAAATGTGGATCGCGAAAGCTTGACGGTTGGAATGAACAACAACAGTTGTAATCATTATAATAATACTACTATCAGGCAGGGTCATAGCCATGATGACATGAAGAAAGCTACTGGAATTAGCAATCCTGGTCACAGCGCAAAGAAGATGAGGAGTATCTATGGCATGACTCGCACCTCAGGAGTAATTCAGTATTCATACAGAATCCAAAATATGTGGCAAGACCGGAGGTTCTAGTAAACCAGGAGGCAACAGGGAATGAACAAAGTGTGTGAGCAAATCCTTGAACAATTTGTGGTATGTAGCATGTGCAAGAAGCGAGCTGCTGTTGCTCTTTATGACCGCCTCTACTTGAAGCTCCTGTAGTCAAAGCTGTGATGTTTAAGCTCGATTGTCACCCTTTCAATGCTACGAATTGGATGCGTATGATGGTTACTGCTGCATATAGGGCTGCGACATACAAATTTCTACATGTAGCTTCAACTGGAATCAAGCCATCACATACAGGGATTTGCAATGCACCGCCTACCAGGACGTTAAGCAGTTTTCTGTCATTAGAAGAGCTGGCAGCATTCAGAAACATAGGTGGGCTAATAAGGTGTACAGTGGGGCGCCCAGAGTTTGGGGGTTACAGCCTGGGATTTGCAACAAGGCGGGCGAGGCGGGCGTGCTTTTCTGGGTGGTGGTGAGCACAATCTTCAGCGGCTGTTCGAACTCAGGCTTCATATTACGAAAACCTAGTTCCAATCATCGAAAAAAGCCTGTGCTGGAAGCAAAGCCACTGAAATCCCAAACACCAAACTCTGCGAGCCACACTGCAGCCACTGCGTACTCTACATAAGAATGTGCACGCAAATATGTCCTGCCCACAGATCATCTCACAAAACAGTTTCTTGCGGCTAAGGATGATCCGCTATGAGGCGATCAAGACCAGAGGGTATAGAAAAACAGGGTAACATCGTGGTTAGCGACCGCAGCGTTTCAGCAGGTCGCATCCGGTACACGTTTTATGAACAAACCGCATAGTATTATGCGGTGTACAGCGCATTCTGGAAAGGTGTAGCAGAAAGACAGAGCCCAAATCACGCGATATGTGCGTTATTCTGCCTTTCCGAGTGCGCAATGTACTGCGTTTTATCAGGATTCTGTCTTACACCCCAAAGGGCCTGCACGGGAAAATGTGTTCACCGGCTGCTGGCGCGCACTGCCAGCTGCTCGCCTATAAACCATAGGTCAGGGCCACTGTTATGCGGGTAGACACTCACGAAGGTTATATGATTTGGGTACGGAGGCTCTGCCGACCGGATGCTCTTGGAACACGACGATGTTGCTATGTTTTGGACATGAGTGCTCTGCTGACCGTTTGCTCTTGGAACACGAACGTCATTTTTGTTGGGGCATGGATGCTCTGGCGACCGTATGCTTCTGGAACACGAACGTTGGTATGGTTTGGGCATGGACGCTCTGGTGGGTGCATGCTCTTGGAACAGGATGTATGCCCTTGGAGCATGAACGTTATTTTGGTTTGGACGTTGAAAACCTTTATATCCTACACGGTCATTAATGACCACGCTAGCAGAAACAGGGGTACCGGTTTTTGGGGGGTCTATGATAAGGATTGCAATTTTTTGTGGTCTATATTGGGGTCCCCCGATGTATAGAAACTACCACCAGCCTCATCAGGGACGGGTATGCCCACCGCAGTACCCATCTGCGTAGTACCCATCTGCGTTCAACGCCCTAAAGGCTCAGACTAGCTTGCGAGAGGTGGTACCATAGTGCAAACCATGAATATCAAGGAATACAAGACAGTGAAGTTCAATCATACGCTGATAAGGAACCAGAGATGGGGGTTCTGAAGATAGATGGTAGTTTCCCAAAATAGAGGGACCCCCAATATAGACCACAAAATACTGTAGCCCTTATGGTGGGGACACTCAAAGTGGTACCCCTATTTTGGGAAACCCTTACATGTTCTGTTTGACGTCATCAGGTGCAACAACCCGAGCACAAATCCATCAGCCTGGAAAGCCCGCAACATTCAAGCCTTTACCCACTGGTCAAGAGCAGCAGGCCAACTTCCTGGTGGGAGCCAAAGAATCATTAGCTTCTAAACACTAAAACCCTAAACCCCTAGACGCTGAATCATTAGAAGAGCTTGCCAACAGAACGACCAGAGACCAAGGTCATTTGCCTCAACTACGCTGGCCTTCCGAACGTCCCTCTCATGCGCCTCGTTTCTGGGTCGGGCTCCTTGCTAACTTTGCTCCTTCATCGGTTAAGTTGCATTGCTATAGAAGCTTAAAGGGATCCGCGCAAAATTAAAGAAAAGAAACTAATCTGACTTCAAGGCATCACATCGCCGTAGCTTCTTAAGGCACTTCACGTCTAGCAATTCAAGGGTAAAGCGAGGAAGGGCTTTGGATTTGAGAGTCAGGGTCTCAAGGTGGTGTTTTGCGGAAGGATCCTCTCCTACTATTATAGAAGGACTTCCCGAAAAGGACCGCAAATTCTGTGCTGAGGAGCTTCCTTCCAATTTCCCTAGCTGCACCTCGTAAGGCACAGCAGAAGACCACCGAAGGACAACTTCGGAGTTTTGTTGAGGTGGCAGAGCGCTGCAGGCGTCATGAACCCCAACTTCGTTGCTCGTAACCGCAATACCGTAAGCCCTAAATCCGCGTCTTCAGCCCAACTGTCGCAAGGCTTCAAGGTCAACTTTCCAACTGCTCTTCCTTGTGTGGTTAAGGATACTGTTTGACGGGCTGCTTGTGGTGACAAGCAATGCTGCGGAGGTTGTCTCAGTTTAGCGGGTAAAGCCGACTCGAGCATGGTCACATGAAGACCCGGAAGTAATGCCTTATGGGGATCTCCAAGAAGCAGGCATTCTTTGGGGTGAGTCTCCATAAGAAGCATTTTAGTACTTAGGGATAGAATGAATTCCCAGTTTTTATGGAGACTACGATATCGTAGTCATGTGGTGCTTTCTTTCAAGGAGCCGAGTGTCCTGCACTGAATCCTGTAGAAAGATGCATGGGGGTTGCTTGAGGAGTTCAGGCTCAAGCTCGCAAGAGCTTTTACCAAAGCTGAACATTGTAAACCAACGCCGCCCCGAAGCCCTACAACCCAAATATGTCAAATGGTTCTGCCCCAACGCCAACCTCCCAACCAAAGATTTGAATCTTAAAAAGGCTCAAAAAGCGAAGGCATTTTGAAAACTTAGCTTGATTTTTTGGGGGGTCAGTGGACACCTTGGGAGTCCTGACAAAACAGGGCTCCCAAATGGTGTGTTTACGACTTTTCCCGTATGGTGGTGCGTGTACCCATATCCTATCCCTCCAAGAGAGATACCAGCACAAGTCCTTGGAACCCTAAACCCTAAATCCTGAATAGTAGTTTCCATTTTATTTTCCATTATCCCAGTATAACCCGTCTGCTGCCGGGCCGCCAGGTCCCAATTCCTGGACCCTTGCACCTGCAAACGCAAGTAGTACTGGGTAAGTGGTAGGGTTTCCACCATAGCGCAAGGTGGAAGGAGCATCCCTTCTCAGCATCATGTCATAAGGTATGCGAAGCACGCGCACAGCATTAGCACCCGAACACTCCACCCGTTATCAAATTGGTGGAGTAGTCATTTAAGAAAGCATGTCGCCATGCCCTAAGGGATGGGGATGCTTCCATTTATAAAGGCAAGCCGCCGAGGTGCGATGAAGTTATGCGAGAACGTACCTGCCCTCCCAGTCAGCATCTCAACCGCTCTCCAACCCCATCCCAGGGTCATGGGGGTGGAACCCCTGTCAAGCCGCTCAGATGCATATCCTGGAATGCGGGCCACCTAGGTAATCAACCGTGGACTGAGGTCCTTGACTGGCTTAGGACCGAAGCGAAGGACAGCTGTGACATCCTCATACTCCAAGAAACCCACTGGACCGCATCAGCTCAAGTCACGGTGCAAGGATAGACCTGTGTTTCCTCCTCCAATGTTTCAGCAAAAGCCGGCATCGATCCCAAACCAAAACGGGGCCGCAAGCCAAAGCAGCCTTACCACAAAGCCGGACGGAGTTATGGTCCTCTTGTCACCGCACATCGATGCCCGGCAGGCGCGCTGGAGGGAACAGAAGGTTGGTCGTCTTCTAAAGGTGCGTTTTGTGTTGGGGGTGCCCCTTTTGTGCTTCTGTGTGGTCCACAGCCAAGACACCAGCAGAATCGTCGAGACAGGGCTACGCTCCTGGCAGCACGATCTAAGGCGGCTACGCAAGTCTCCACGAGGACGTCTTTGGTTGCGGCAGGAGAGTTCAACTCCAGTGTTAGGCCATGCTCGCGCCTGGTCGGCCCTAGGATCTGCCCGCAGACGCCGCGACCTGATAGTGAAGCATTTCAGAACATGGCTGAAAGCTTTGTGGCACTGCCCCAGCCAGCCGACAGGAGCGGAGGGAGACTTAATAGGGGGGCTTGTGTTTGCGCTGTACCTCTCCCAGGCTTTTGACATTGTGAAATCCACCTCCGCCTCGCTTTGGGGCCGACCCCCAAGCTAGTCTCACTGGTCCATGCCTTGCACCGCCGCTGTTCATAGAGGCTGACAGTCCAGGGCGACTTCACCGAGGTGGAGACCACTACAGGCATTAAGCAATGGTGTAAACTAGCTCTTAGCTTGTTCACTCTGTTAACGGGGAAGCTTTACAAGGAGCTTTTGGCCCTCTTCGGAGAACGTAAAGTTCGTAACTACTTCACGGGGTATGCGGATGACCTGACTATCCATCGCTTTGTCAGCTCAGTAGCAGAGTTAGAAGAATGTTACCTCCTGATACGGTCTCCTCTTGATCGTTTGCAGCAGCATAAGCTCGTCCGCAACAGTTCCAAGTTTTATATCCTGGCAAAGTTTGCGGGTAAGATGGCCCCTACCGTCACGAAGACCTATACAGCCTGGGTCCAAGATGAGACAGATGCCAAGGTCAAACTCTGGCATATAGGCAAGACCAAGTACTTCCCTGCCTCTAAGTGGGTATTGGAGTTGACGTACCTGGGCATTAAGGCCTCTCCTACTATCATTTCGAGATGCAGACTCTACAGTTTCGCATCAATGAGGCTAAGCAGTGATTACACTTGTATGTAATCGGAGGGTGGGGAATTCTGTTTCTAGATTTAGGGTGTGGCTGACTGTGATATGGTCTCGTTTGGGCTCTCCGAGGTGGAGGTGACGCGAGAGTGCCGAAGCCCTTCAAGCATGGTACGCTTTTAAACTGCGCTCTGTTTTGCGCAAACCAGTGCACCTCACGCATGTGGCCACGGCCGCCAGGGGGACCTGCGAGCCCCGAGTGGCAACTCCACTGAACAACTCACCGAGAGTAACCTGCTTAGAGCGCCTTGGTGCCGCGGGAGCAGCAGTGGCCCCAACAGGGTGCTGAAGCTGCCAATAGAACACGAACTGGAACATTGCCCACAATGTTTGTTCTTGTTGTGAACTATCTTATTACAGAAGGGGCAGGTCAACCTTTGGGGGGTCTGAGCAGAGAATCATCCACACGTATGAATGGAACTGTCATGACCTGTCTGCCACTCCGAGTGATGAACCTTCCTGCTAGCGACTTAAGCTTTGTATAGTCCGAAATCCAAAGCCACAAAGCATGCAATGCATTGCGTTTGAAGTTCCTGGGCCTCGGCGCTACGAGCTATTCGTGGGAGCTCTGGGCGCGCCGCAGCAGAAACTGACTGGCGAAGCTTGCCTAAAGGACCTGCCTGATACTTAGCAGTAGCTCCCTCCAACGGCCGGAGAGCTTGCGGGTTGGGGCAAACCCCCGACAGCAA